TGGCTCATAGCCCAGATCTCGCTGAGTTTTCTTGTAAGAGAAGGTGAACACACTATCTGTCATTTTGACCAATTGTAATGGGGAACAGGAAGGACAGTGCAAATCACCTACTGGTGTCCAGTGTGTGTTCTATGTAGAGAACTTTTCTACAAATAGGCTTCAGACATGGATGGGAGGAAGGAGGAACCTTGGATCTGCTGCACGGTTCCAGCAGTCATCATGGAATGGAGAGAGTGGGGTGAGAGGAGAGGGCCCTGCAAGCCTGGTACCTCCTTTGAAAGTGGTGTCGTTTACTCTTTGTAAATCTCTAAGCTAAAACAACAGCAAGAGTTTGTGTATTTTTCCCATTATCTCATTTGAGAATTAGCTTGGTTTCTCTCTTTCACTTTCTCTGTCTCTCTGTCTATCTCTGTTTTTGTCTGTCTTTCTCTTTTGAGACAGGGTTTCTCTGTGTAACAGCTCTGGATGCTCTGGGACTCACTCTGTAGACCAGGCTGGCCTTGAACTCAAAGTTGTGCCTGAGAATTAATTGCCTGTGCTGAGAATTAACCCTTAAATGTTAACATGTCAGCTAGAGTGAGCTGAAATAAGAACCTTCCCTAATAGTTTTTTTTTTTCTTTCAGAGGCAGCAGAAGAAAGAGCTATGGAGTGGGGACTATCAGCCAGAGACACAGTCTCTGCACTGTGTTTCCAACTTCAGCTTAAGGGCTGGTAAGATGGCTAAGCAGGTAAAGGCTTCAGCCCCAAAGACTGATAATCGGAGTTCAGTTCCTGGATGGACTAACTCCACATCTTGTCCTTTGGCTTCTACACACACCTGCTGTGGTTCACAAGTAGACACACACAAGTGCAAAGGAAAGTCAGTAGAGAAAGGCATAATATGATGATAATGTTCACATACTTATACACACACATTTACACAACTGTTTTTAGAGTAGACACACTAGAACGGCAACGTAGGCTATACATAAGGAACACCCAATTTGATGCAAAAATGGAGCCATAGCAGGTACACAAGTTCTTTAGTTTTTTCAATTCCACAGGTAGATAAAGTTTTGCTGAATGCCTTGTTTTAGTTTATTTGATCAGAGGATGATTTCAGTGGCTGAAGCAAGAGTTAATGCTGGGGTAGTGTTGTGGGTCATTGAGGTGTGATGCTTAGTGATGGTTCCTTTCCAGAGTGTCACTTGGGGCCAGGAATCTTCTTTTCCATGTTTCAGAAGGGCCCTACTCTAAAGTGGATGTGGCATAGCACGAGAAATGGGGTGACCAAGCCCTTATGTCCATCTCTCAGAGGAGTTGTTCGAGTTCCTTCCACTCCAGAAATGGGATATGTTCTTCTGCTATGATTCTCTGTGAGGCAGATGTATGTCTTGGGGTCAGATGCTTCTGTTAAGGGCCTTGTCCCTCATTAGCAGAGTGGGCTGGAGGGCACATTTGTCTCCTCTCTAACAGAACTATTGTAGCACAGTGTTCTTTCCTTCATGGGATCAGGGTTCACAGATCCAGACAAGAAGTAACAGGACTAGAGCATTCATATAGATTAAGAATGTCCAGGTAGGCTCAGAACAGACATGCTGTTTAAGGAGTGAGGGCAGATTGTCACTTCCCAGGGTCTAGGGACAAAGCAGAGCAGTCTTTGGCTAAAGCTCACATTTGAACAAGCCCCAAAGCCTCTGATTCTGTTCAGCATATCCTTTCTTGGAGAATTACTAACAGATTTGTAGAACATAAATTTAAATTCCTAAGTCACATTCCTTGCACACCTAAGGGAGAGAGTGCCAGTGCTGTGTTCAGCCCCAGGTGTGGAATCCTTAACCCACAGGAGGAGAGAACTTCTGCATGGATTCTGGAGTCTGGTGCCTGTGTTGTGTGAGGAGAAGAGACTCCCATGTGACAGCAATCTTAAATGCATATGTATCTTACCCAACACTCTTTACAAAATGGGTTCAAATACATAGGGTCTATTTCCCTATTCAAGGGGTTCTTAGAAACAAGCAATCTTCATCATCTTAGAAATTGGAAAAGGTAAGTGAAAAGAATGAAGCATTCCTAACCACAGTTTACCACAATTTTCCAATCACAAGCCCAGTAGCACCCCTTCCCTCCAAATAAGGTCAGGCTGGAGCCCATTGCCCATTCTCTTGACCAATATCCCTCATTGGTAGTACCATGCTTGAAAAGGGGGAATCTCCTCATCCCCCCCACCTCCAACTGTAGCTGAAGTTTTCTCCAGTCCTGCCTGGCCCATGGTCAGGACAAATCTCTCTCACCCACCAGTCCCGCAGCAGCTCAGACCCAACTGAGTAAACACACAGAGACTTATATTGCTTACCACTGTATGGCCATGGCAGGTTTCTTGTTATCTAATTCTTCTATCTTAAATTAACCCATTTCTATTAATCTATACTTTGCCCTGTGTCTCGTGGCTTACCTATACTTTACATCCTGTTTGTCATTGTGGCAGCTGGCAGCATCTCCTCTACTCCACCTTTCTGTCCCCCCAGTTCTCCTTGCTGCTAGTCCCACCTATACTTCCTGCCTGGCTACTGGCCAATCAGTGTTTTATTTATCAATCAATCAAAGCAATACATTCACAGTATAGGGAACATCCCACAGCACTTCCTTTTTTTCTTTTTTTTTCAAAAAGTAAGGTTTTAACTTTAACATAGTAAAATTATATGTAACAAAACAAGTATCAAGCAAGAATTACAGTTAGAATATTTAGTCTATTTATAATATCTACTCTATTTGTATTTGGCAAAATTAAAGAAGATATCCTATCTATCTTACATTTGTGAGTCTAAGATTTCATATCTAACTTATCTTTCATCATATCTAAGGAAATTATAACTAGCTAGTCTTCAACTGCATCAAAGACATCAGAAGGATATAATATTACCTGAGAAATGAGCAAAGACACAAGTAACTTTCGGCAGTCTTACAAAAGTAGACAGAGACAACTGGTAGCCTGGACAGTGATCCAAAGTTTTTCTGTAAAGTTGGGGCATCTGTCTTCAGCCCACAAGCCTAGAGTCTCTCAGTCACTTTTCTCTGTGTCCTGTTAAATGTCTGGCAGTTTCCCCTGTGAAGCAGGAACCTGAAGGACCATTTTGCCTAGCAAAGTTCAATGGTCACCTTCCTATGGGTCCTGCATGTCCAGTCGATACATTATTTTCAAGCAGTCCAGGCAAGAACAGTTTGTTGCCCAAATGGCTATTTTTGCCAAGAAGAAGATAAACTCCATATAGAGTGTCTTAGATGCCTATCATCCTTTCTGAAGTAAATCAGTGCTGCCAGGAGCAGATATGTCTCATTGTCCAGAAAGTCTAAATTTTTAAAAACATTTTGAATGCCATGTTCTGTGGGTCTTTGAAGTATTTGAAGATTACCTATTTGAAATATATCTATGTATACCTAGAAAACTTAACATGACTATAAGTTTGAATATCATAGAAGACTAATTGTACCATTACAATTTAAATGAACTGTATAAACATAATACCTTAAACAAGAGTAAAAATATACATACAGTATAACAAAATTAACTTTAAATTTGTACCAATAAACTAAAATCCATAGCAATGTAAAACATTTTTACACAAGTTGCTCTTTAAAAGTATGTTCAATAATCTACTCCTTCATCTTATCATCTATACTGTCCCCTTTTGTTCTTTAGAAAGAGATTGTACTTATAATCAACCTGTTTTAAATAAAAATGTTTTTTCTCTGTCTCTTCTGATATGGGACAAAAGAATATCTTAACCTTTATTTTGGCAATATGCTTGGGTTTAAAGAAGGAGTGGGCCAATTCCATCTCCAAAGTCAGCTTGGTATATTTGGGAATTTGGGCGTAGCTTCTCTTACTACTTCTTGGTGGAGGGGGCCACTGTATCTTATGGGGACATAAAGAAAATTTTAGGATTATGCAGTAGTCCATGAGGGTGTATTGTCTGAGCCAATTGCCTTGAAGCCATTCTGGATGTTGGATCATCTGGGCCATGGTGTCATCAGAGACCTTTCAGGGGGTTTTGGCTGGTCAAACCTGATGTATCTTAATCTGGAACAAATCCATAGCTTCTAGCTTTCTGTGGAAACAAAAGTAGAGTCTCCTTTCCAAAGCAACGTATCGTTACATCTACATTTTGAAGTCAAGGTACCTTTAAAATATACATATTGGCTTAACTCAACAGTTTTTAAAATCAAGTCTTTCTGCAGTTAAGAATATCAAAGACAACATAATCCAGATTCTCAGTGTGATATCCATCTTTATGTGGCTTATTTTTTATATTAATTTTACTGTCCCTCTAAAGACTTTATTTTTAAGAAATTTAAAAATTTCTCTCTTTCAAGCCTACGAATATTTTCATACACATTGTAAACTATTCTATCTGAATCTGTCTTATTGTGAGCCTGTTGTTTTAAACTGCAGCAATTAGTCTGACACAAAAGTCTTAGCTGTTAGCTCCTCCCAATGTAGCTTTCTTTTTTTTTTTTTTTTTTCAAGACAAGGTTTCTCTGTATAGCTTTGTGCCTTTCCTGGAACTTGCTTTAAAGACCAGGCTGGCCTCGAACACACAAAGATCAGCCTGTCTCTGCCTCCTGAGTGCTGGAATTAAAGGTGTGCACCACCACTGGCTGGCCCCAGTTTAGCTTTTCAACATGGTGGAGATAATTCACCACCAGCGCTGGGAGCCATATTGGATCTATGCTTCTATCCAAGAAGCATGGAGCACTGAACCTTTTTTTTGTACTAGCAAAGGCTAAATCCACCATGCAGCATAATGTGCAGCTTGGAGGCACCTTATTCCCCCCATGCTGATGGTCAAGCACTTGCACACCAGGAACCCACCATATAGTAGCTCAAACCTGCAGGCTGCTGCTAACTTGAGAAAAACAACTAGGAATCTGTTTTTAACTCTTTTTTTAAATAATCTTCTTTCTCAGGTTTTAGATAGCAACTATTGCCAACCCATTGGGCACTACCCACCAACTGCTGGGCATTCAGGATTAACCCAAAGCTACCATCTATTGTCTGGCTTGTAAAAAACTGGTCCCTTGAGTCGGATATCTGAGGCCAATTTCTCTGTGCATCAGAAAGAGAAAACTATGAGGCATTAGCTGGTAAAGGGGAGTGGGTTTATTCAGAGTTCTGTTTATAGCTAGAGAGAGAAACTTTCTTAGCCTCTACCCACTGTTCTCATACTGGCAATTTTATAGGAAACCTGGAACCAAAATCCCCAAACAGGCAAGTATAGATTTAGCTGTGAGAAAAACTGTAACTCTGAATGTCTACTAGAGGATGCCGCCTCCTAGCTCTTTCCCTGGCCCTAGGGAATCTCTTGGAGAAACTGGAACTTTAGTATTTCCACTGTCAGTCCCTATTACATGAAATACAGTCATTTCGTCATCTTGTGCACTTCAAAGGACAATGCCTGTCATGACTCTCCTATCCCTAATCTAGCCCTGATTTTTCTCAATCCACCTCAGATCCATGATCATTTCTGCACCCAGCATGGCCTTGCCTGGACACAGAAGGGAAATAGAAGACCAAAACAACTTCTGCAGATGATGTACTAATCAGTATTTATTGATTATTGAAGCTTTGGTTGAGCTTCAGAGAGAGTAAAGAAAATTTTGCAGAGAAGCAGAATGTTTTTAGTGGGGAGATGAAACCAATGGAGAGAGCTCTAAGGTGCAAGAGGCATGGAAAGTTTGGAAGTTTGATCTGAGACACAGCAGCCCTGTGTTGCTGGGCAGGTGCTGGGGAAGAAAGCCTATGTCAGGGCCAGTGACTGGCAAAGCATCTGGTGACTTGAGGAATACACCAAGATGGTCTGTGTGTCAAGGGGAGGCAGAAGGACTTGGATTGTACATCTGTCCCTTCAGGAAGACCTGACAACTACCAACTGACAGCACCCAGGGCCATGTCCCTGCCATGGTCACATCACTGTGTGTTTGTGTTCAGTGTCCCTTTGTGCTGCTCCACTAGTGACCCGATCCACTGAGAAGTTTTCTGTCTGGCTTCCTCCCAGCTGACAGGTGGCTCATAGCCCAGATCTCGATGAGCTTTTTTGTAGGAGAAGGTGAACACACAATTTAACACTGTTACCAAGTGGCGGTTAAATGGAGGCCGGAAGTTGTAGATTGGACGCAGCAGGAAGCTCACAGTTTCCAGCAGGAAGGCAAGCCAATAGAGCAGGGGCAGAGGAAGGCTCCAACTGGAATCAATGTGGAAGCCCCAGCCCTTGCTCACAGCAAAGTTAAAATCATCATAGCTTTGGTGAGGAGTGTCATCTGAGATGTAGTAGAACTGACCTTGGATGCTTGGTGACTTCTTGGGGTCTCGTAGGCCCCTAACAGCCAAAATGTGTGCCCAGGCCACATTACCCACATATACTGGGTTAACTGTGGAAAATTTGCCAGTAACATCCAGAATACCATTATTTTTGAGGGCCCTGATCATTATAACATAAATTATAAGACACTTTTCCCCATAGATAAACATAGGTCTTAAGGCACAAGTATGCAGAGTGCCACCATCTTTCAGGCTGCACCCATTGGCTGCTAGTACAGCCTTCTCAGCCATCTTTTTGCTATATGGGTATGGATCAGACCATGTACTTTCACGATGTTCTTCTTCATGGCCATTCAGGACAATCTCCTTGTAGGAGTTGGGCCCTGCAACATCAACTGAGCTGGTGTAGATGAAAGCTGGCACACTAGCTTGGACACAGGCTTCCAACAGATTCTGGGTACCTAATCACAGAGAACACACCATCAGGAGATAGATAATTAAGGGGTTTACCATGTGCACAGCTTCATGATTATTTTCATCTTATGGCTAATAGAACAACCTTTACAATCAGTGCACGTTTCCTGTTTTCTGAACTCACAGCTACCTTCCTATGATCTGGGGACAATGGGTAGTTCTAGAGAGCAAGACTCTCTTTTGTTCACAGCCCTGTGTATATTTGTGTGCATGAATGTGTAGAACTTGGTGTCCTTTACTGTCCAAAGCCTCTAAGGCTAATTGTTTATCCATTTTGAATGTGACCATGAAGTAATTATAATTTTATGCATATCAATTCATGCATGTGTTCTAGATGTACAAAAGCAGAAGATCATATTCTTAGACTATGAACAAAAATAGTTCCTTTTAACTAAGAATAGTTCAAGAATTAACATCATCCAAGCTCAAATCTAGTTGTATACAGGTGATAATATGTTATACAGACATTTCATAGCTACAGTTTTTTGTCATTTGATGAGAATAAAACTATTCAAGGACAACTAGTCTGAGTCATGGAACTAATGATTACTGGGTTTGGAGAGAAGTGGAGACACAACTGTGTTTCTGGGTGCATACACAATGGTAAAGCACTCTTGGTTCCATCTATGACTTTGTTGACTTAGTTGTACAAAGTAGAGGGGATAAATATTCCTTCCAGTTTTCATCTTGGATCCCAGCACTGACTCACCCCATCTGTTCCTCTTGGTAGAAAACTAAAAAGGACTATGTGTTCCCTGCCTGGAATTCCTGTCATGGCAGACCCTTGTCAGGCTGGAATCTCTCTCAGAACTAACAGCATGCAGGTCTTGTCTAGGTCTCACCAAAGGAGGAAAGTGTGGATGGTTGTCAGCTGCGTGGAGTTGGAATCCAGTCTCCTTGGCAGGGAGGACCACAGAAGAGCTTTCCTTGAAGTTGGAGTGACATAGATGTGACTCACATCCTAGGCCACACACTTTCTACCTGCTGGGCCTTAGCCATGTAATAGCCCTGAAATCTTTGAGCTGGGTCTTGTGAGCACAGCATTAGAATCATAGCATGGCAGGTCTTGTGTGGTGAGAGAATCACTTCCTGATCTGTGTTGACATTTTCAACCTTGCAACTTTCACCTTCTGTCCAGATACTGTACCTTTAATATTAACATCCAGGATGGTCTGTCTGGGAAGAACACCCACGACATCAATGACAGCAGCAGTGTGGATGACAACAGAGATGCCCTGGCAGGCTCTCCTCAGGTACTGGGCATCCAGAATGTCTCCCTCCAGCAGTGTCACCTTGGTCTTTGTCTGTAGGTCTGTGGAACACAAGACAGGTCATTGGGAAGCTTTTCTGCGGGCTGGGATGTTTCCTGTATACATGTGTCAGTGACCTAGGTCATCAAGAGTTGTCATAGTGGGGGAAATGTTAGACAAGAGGCCTGGTATAAGGAAGGAAGATGCATTCTTTCCCACTGCAGAAAACAAATCAGTTTAGGAAGCAATCAAATATGCCTGGGGCATGAAACTTGTTCAGGGGAGTGTTGGCAAGTTGATTCATTATTCAAAGAGACTCAGGAGGTAATGCTGGTGGCTGGGTAGAAGTGAGAACAGCAATTGGAATGTTTGTTTCAGTGTTATGATGAGGAAGACCCTGCTTCCAGGGGTGGGATCAGAGAAGGAAGCCACATGGATATGATTCTCAGCCAGAGCCTAGTATTTCCTGGGTCTGTGCTGAGAAAAAAAGGAAGAGTTAACACTGTACCACTCATTGGGCAGAAATGACTCAGGGAGAGTGAAGGCACTAACAATAAAAATAGGAGGTGCTCACGTATGTAGATAGAAGAACATCACCTCTGAGATGTCATCAAAAAATTAGATGTCTGTGGTGTAACTGAGTTTCTAAGAGGGATTCCCTTACAGCCATCTACCCCAAGGCAGTGGGTACAATGACAGTATCTTTGGGTTCCTATGAAACCTGAAAATAGTGCCGCCTGTTATTTTGTCATTCAAATCACAAAATGACCGTGTCCCACATGCGGTTGTCCCCAGTACCCTATATTTGCTTTGGCTTCTTAATTCTCACCCAGCTTTTGGAGTTTCCTTCCTTCCTACCCACACTTCATACAGCCTGGTCCTCTAGGCCCTAATTAGTAGATGAGCTTAGTGGGTTTCCAGAAATCTGTGGACACAGTTCTGGCTACACTGACAGAGGACACCTCCTGTGACCTGTCTCTACCTGTGCTACTAGCCTATTCTCTGGAGTTGCTTGCAATCAGTATTTCAGAGGCAGATTGAATTCATTCCACTCAACTGAACGTGTCAATAAAGCTAAACAATAGTGGGAGGATTGGGAGAAATCCAGGGCTGAGGAAACATCTCTAGAGACATAAATAGAATGGCTTTCCACTTATTCTCTTCTAAGTGTTTCCTATCCATGCCCCTGCTCTCCTCATGTAACTCCAGGAAAGCCCTGAAGTAGAGAGAGGCAAGCAAGGTACTTATCATAGGGAAGCAGTTACCTGTGTGAGGGTTGAATTCGTGGATTATGATTCTATTTGCCCATTCTGTCCTTCTCCTTTGCTATTGATTTAGACAGGCTGGTTCAGGGATGTCAGTATGAACAGACATGTGGAATCCAGACCTGTATTGGAATAAACTCTCATCCATGAGCTATTTGAGGACCCAGAGATGACAGAAGAGACCTCTTAGAGTGTTTTCTAGTGGTGCCATAGTTGCACCCTTATCTAGGATACCTGGATGTGACAAATATTGGCACAGAAACATGGTAGAGTGTTGTTGTCCTGTGCACCAGGTCAGAGAGAGACCCAAGGGAGCTCCTACCCAAAATGAATGTGAAGATTATAAAGGCTGCAGCTAGATTTCCTAGATTCCCGTTCAGTTTGTTTATTTTAGCTTTAGTATTTGGGTAAGCTAGTGAACCTCTGCACTTATCTATCCACAGAAATAGAGCGTAGACACATTAACTACATTCCAGCATTGTTAAACAGAGCTAATGATTGGTCGCCACAGTATGTACCACAGAGCCTGACACAGAAAGCACACTCACATGAATGTTGGCTTTATCTTTATGCAGGGCCCTCTCTATCGCTATTCCTGACAGTACTCACTATGGCGCTATTCCTCCAGACCAAACCATGGCTATTTTCAGGTATTGCTTAGACATTGGGACTCTAAGAAATATAATTGACTGTGTGCTAATATTGAGTTTCTGGAGACAGCAATTAGAATGTTAGAGGACTAATTTGACATTTGAAGAAGTCAGAAACAAAGACAGAGTAGAAGGGAAGTGTTGTCTCAAAGGGAGGGTCCTGTGTGCAGGGCAGATACCTAAATAGAGTGTGTTTACCCTTGCAGCAGAGGAGGGGGCAAAGTGCTAGCTTGAGTCACATATAGACAATAGGAGGACTCTGTAGCCAAGAATTGGCCCCTGGACAAAATAATAGAGTATAAGTGAGGCAACCTCTGGCTTGATCTGTGATCCTCATTAATTGGATGTTGCTGCTATAGTCATCTTTCTTTTCTCCACTCAAAATCCTTGATTTTCAGGTGAGTGAGCATCCTTTACTACATGTACTGCAAAGTTCTTATAATGCCTTGGAGGTTGACTAGGTGCTAAAATATCCTGTAAAACCAGCTAGTCCAGTTGTAACTGAGATAACAAATTGGCAAAGAATTATGGCCTGCCCCAGTGAATTCTGCAAACTTATTCTTAGTGATGATAAACTCCAGTGAGGAATGAGAGAAATATGCAAAAATAGTCCAGGTGAGGCATGGACAGTCCTGATTCTAGCATTGTGTTGCTCCCTTGGTGTGACCTCATGCATTTATCAGGTTCACTTTCTCGGTCTCATTCTCTATCTCTGTTTTTTTCTTGTCTACCTGTCCCTGCCCGCTCTCCTATATCTGTCTCTGTATATTTCTCTCCTTTTTACATCTACTTCTTTTATTTACCCTCTACCCATAATCCTGATTGAAGGAATGAAAAAATGCTAAAAGAACCCCTCCCTCCTCCTCTCCCCATGCAGAGAGCAAACCAGAACAAAACAACTAGAACAGTAGCAGTTAGGACAGAGGGAGCTAGTATTGAACCCACTAGCTTAATGATCTTTATGGCTATACCCAGCAATTGGCAAGTCCACATTAAAGAGCTCCAGGAAAGGGAGAGAGAAATCGTTAGTCCAAATTCAGCCTCCCCTAACTGTACACTGTCTTTTATGCTGTGTGGTCTGATTTCTCCTGATGAATGTGGACATGGAGCCATGTTATGACTGCCAAGTGTCCTTATTTACTTAACAGGGCAAAAGCCCCCCTGCATCCAGTCAATTGTTATGTTGAATTGGAATGCTATGCCAAATCCTCAGGTTGACTTACTGTAGAATTCCTCCCTGGTTTCCGGTCTGAAGACCTTGTCCAGGACTCTGACCTCCTCCAGATCTTTCTCCTGCACCAGCAAATGGACAATCCTTTGCCCTAGAAACCCTCCTGCCCCTGTCACCAGGCAGCTCCACCCAGGCATGGTCAACTCAGGCAGCAGATCCAGTGAGAGCAGGGGTAATGTAGGGTGATTCTGGAGATGGTTAGAAAGAGAGAACCAGGGATTACTCAAGCTTAATTTCCCCCACCAACCTGTCATAACACAGATCGTAAGGCATGGCACAATTTCTCCATAGCACTATCAATGTATTTCGATGTGTACCCACAAACTGTTAGACCCACAGGGTTTCTTTTCCCCAAGATTCTACGTTGCCAAGATGCCTGTGATTTCACCTGTGCTTCAGAAATGGCCACAAACTTACTGCACACAATAAAGTTACATAAGCAGTTCATGGAACTCAGAAAAATGTTTACTTATTGGCTACAAAAAGTGAGGCACAAAGAAAGGGTCCAGAGGTCTTGTGCCCTTGGGGAATATAGCTCCAGAAACTTCTATGGGTTCAAAGATGCAGAATTATAGTGAACCCATTATTGGGCATCTATTTTGGAGATTGCATTTATGGGCATGCTTGAACCATGTACAATTTTAGTGAAATGTGATAGGGCACATGTTAATCCAAGTGCCATCAGATGGGATAGGTGGTCCCTTAAGTCCTGTGTTTTGTAAGGTCTCAGCATTCCTTCCTTGAGTTTGTGGGACAGAAGTCATTTGGAATAGGAATGCTCTGTCATTCAGACACAGCCCATTTTGGAATGATATTTGAATCACTTACCATAGAGGAAAAACAATTTAGATAATAATATTAAAATCCACAGCCTATTTTTTTTAAACACAAACCCCTAAATCCCTAATACCAAAGAGATATGTAACTCAAGAAATCGCCACATCAATGGAATTCCAATGAACCTTTATTAGAAAGTACTGTGCTTTATAATGTATGAATGAATATGTCTGCCAAAGCAAGTCAGATACCACACTTCCTTTTCAATTACATGAGGTTACAAAGAAAGGTAGCAACACTTTGGCAAGCCTACACTTTCATCTTTTCAGGCATCTGGTATAATTGGGCTATGAAATAATTTTGTGTCTTCCTCTAGTCTCACTGGAGGTATAGATGTAATGCAAGATCCCCTTTAAGTTAGAGTGCAGTTATTCCCTTCTGTTCTGTCAGAGGCTAGTCCCCTTCTCCAAAATCATCAACACTCAAACATTTTCATGTTTGGAAGGGGCATTAGGTGAGGCCACTGTCCCATCTAGGCTGCACGCAGCAAGGCTACCTTACTAAGTAACCGCTCACCCACACAGTAGTAGGGTTGGCTACATCTTGTAGAAGTAGTGGGCTGTCCTGACCACTAGCCAATATAGCAGCATTCACTGTTAACCCCATCACCACCCACCCGCAGACCCCCAGGAGGTCTGACAGAAGTTTCCATGGGCACTGACCCTAGCACAGCACCTTCACTTACTTGAATCCGGGTCCTTAGACCAGAGTCTTGGTGCATTGGGAGGTGATCTTTGAAGAGATGTGAGAAGCAAAATGTTACACAGTCACACACATTTATACACACACACACAGTCCTCTGGCTTGCATGGCTACTGTTTTACACATCAGGCTGGAGAAAGATTTCTTTATTAGAATCACTTTCTGCTCCCACAGAAGCAGATAAAAGAGATAAGAACTTCAGGAAAGGTTTGGTAAAATGTGGGATGACTCATCCCTAACCTGCTTTTTGGCCATCTGGCCCAAACAAGTAAAAAAGATACTTTCTGAGAGCCAGCCTGGGTTGGCCTGATGGTCTCAGCAACAACAATTGAAGCATGATCTGGAGATGACCTGGACCAGTGAGAGGCAGCCATGTCACACCAGCTGATGCATGTTCATCAGACCTCCTCCTAGGGTGGGGTGGAGCGTTTAAATGTCTTGCCTCTTCCTGAATAAACTGAGCTTGTTGTTTCAACATTCTCCCAGAGTCTGTATGGTTTGGACTCTGAGCCTACTTAGCCCTGGGCCCCAAAGGGAACACAGCAAGGACCCTGTTACAGTAGAAGATCCCTCTTCTGTGAACTTTGTCCTCATCCCATCCCTGTTTCTACTTAGCCTCCACTAAGACTTCAGCAGCACATTTTGGTCTAAGAGGACCTCATCAGAGAGGGCTGCTCACCTAGAGACCACACTCATCTCAACCAACATAAAGAAAAAGTGATTCAGCATATCACACAATGCCAGTTTAAACACATCAAGTTTGAAACCTCATCAGCTCTTATATTTTAATGTTTTGGTACCAAGTTAATGAATGACCTGTGTGCCTTTTATCCAGCCCACTAGTCTGCTTCCCCAACTATGGGATAACCTAGTGTTAATTTTTGCCAGGTAGAGCCTGCCTTCTCTGGCCTTGGGTCCTGTATGAACCCTGGTGTGCTGGCCACTGTGCAGCTTTCAAAACTGAATTGTTCGTCTTAACCCGCTACTCTCACAACCCATTTGGATTACACAAATGAAAGAATTCCTTCACATTATGCTTTCCGGCTTCCACCATTTCTTGCTATTACCTTTCCCTTTAATGGAATATTTTTGGTGACCAAGAGACAGAAAGATTACCCCTGTAGTTCTTCTATAATTTTCCTTGGAGGCGCTGCTGATGGTGGAAGTCTGAGGCCAAACACATGGAGCTCTGAGCTCCATCTAGCATCAGTGTGACCCACTGTTCTTGGTCTATTACTTTCATGTCGGGCATCCTCTGCATCAGTCTGACCCTACACTGTCTGTTAACGGTGTCCAAGCAATGGAATGTTTCACCCCTTTCTTATGAGTTTGTGTGTTTCTGGGCACACAGGGGCACAATTCTCCAGGTGTTGTAGCCATCTCTAAGTTGCAGGGATAATTTCTAATAAATGAGTGTGAGATGGGACCTACAGGAAGAGAAAGGGGAATGAAAAAAGGGCTATCTATAACCATGTGCTTCCCAGGCACCTCTCCGGACATAATATCTACATATTTGTCTCCTATAATATATTGAATTTTCTCTGATACATTGATATTGTATATCCACAACAGAGGAGGTCAATTATCCATGACAGTGAGCAATAGTTTTGTAAGAGGCATTTTGTGATCTAAGCATGAAGGACTTCTTGGGCAACACTGAAGAAGCCAGACTGAGACAGTGATCAGGATGCTCCCATCTTTACAAGCATCGCTTAATCATGTTTGCCTGTGGCTCCCATGGCAGCTCTTTCCCTGTTTACCATAAGCCAACAGCAGAACCATGAAGACAGACTTGGGGTCACTGAACACCCCTGTCTGCCTTTGTTGTTCCTGGAGCCACGTTGAAGAGATTCTCCCCACACCTCTGCTTTAGCAATCCCTTGTTTCTTTGATTTGTATGTTAGGATGGCTGCTCCAGTCTAGATGTTTAACTTAGAAGTTCTGGTTACAAAATTCAGTGATGGTGGAATTTGCCCTTCCCAATAGCATGCTTGGCAGTTAGTAGTAGTATAGTACAGGCAGATAGCTGGTGTGTTTTAGTCAGCGGTCTATAGAGGAACAGAACCAAAAGGATGTATATCTGTCTATCTATCTATCTATCTTCTGTCTGCCTGTCTATATCTCAGGATTTATTAATTCAGCTTTAAAGTTGTAAGAATAGCTAAATCATACCTCAGAAACTAGTGGTAACTTGGTCCTTGAGGCTAAATGCCTCAACAGTTGGAATATATCCCACAATAAGTGTTCCTCACTGTGGGGAGACAAATTGTACTTACTCAGTGGGTTAGTGGTCACAAGTTGGCACTGGAAGTGTAAGAGGTTTCTGAGTCCCAGCTGGTCCCAAGTCCATAATGCAGGCTTGGAAAATCTGGTGTCTTCTCTCTGCAAAGGAACCAGCAGCAGCACCACAAACCAACTCCAATGCAAGAGGGAACCAAAGCCAGCAACAGGCTAGATGATCTTCCTGGACAGGGTGTTTTTTATCCGGGTTACTACCAGAGGCTGCCGCCTATATTCAGGGTGGGGCTTCCCACATCAATCAAGGTCATCAGGACACTTTGTTGAGTGATTCTCCTCTGTGACAAATTGACACTAAAACCAATCATAATTAGGTGTCTCCTGTTTCAGAACACGGCGTGGGAGGCTTCTTTGTGGGGGTGCAGGGGAAAGCTAATCCAGAACTAAATAGAACATCTTGTCCTACCCTTAAGGACCAGCCTAAACTTAAAAGTTGCAAAAGAAAAGAGATATCATTAACTTAAAATGAAGATAAATCATCTTGTAGTAAAGGGCCCCCATTAATCATTGAGGAGCATTTTCATTTGTCCTATGAAACCTCATTTCATATCTTTAGCTATAGATAAATCTAACTGAAATATTTTAATAATGATGGTCAGAGCTTTACTTGTTTTCAGAGTAAAGGGTCGAGCCAGGTAGAATGTTGTGAAGGTCACAAAAGGGACCAGGAGAGGGCTACAGCTGTGTTTCTGCAGACTGGGAGAGAGCAGGGAGGAGGGGCCACTGCATTTCAAGAGAGTGTAGGAGGCCTGGTTGCTCTTTGTGCTGCCCCCCTTTTACATTTTGGGTATATTTTAATAAGCAAGGAGGTGGTTATCAGACTGAGATTGAATTTTGGATGTATGACCATGACCACCAGTAGATGTCTCCTGCTCTAGTGGATAGTTCCATACTCATTCATGGACACTATCCAAAAAAGACTCAAACTCAGGAGAAGTGTTGGGACAGGGGTGCTTGGGGAGCATTTGAGGGGGGTACATGTGGGATGAATATGATCATGCCTCACTGTATACATATATGAAATTCTCAATAGTCAAGAATACTTATCATCAAAACCCAGAAAACATAATAAAAATTACTTTTTTAAATATAAATTCCTACGTAATTTTTTTGTAAATTTACTCAAAAGTTCTAACAAGAAGCTCTCAGTCCCACTTAAAGATTTGTCAAAGTCCCTCTACAGTCTAAGTGTGGATGTCTAAATGATAAGGATGAAAGAGAATGCCAATGCTTGGGTCTTAGTCCTAGAAGGTCAGTCAGAACCCAGGGGAAGACAGGTGCTTCTAAAACACCACAGATCCAGATTAAACATTCCTTTTGATGGCATGTGCCATGGAGACCCTAGATGGTGAACACTAAACAGAATTCCCTCTGAAGAGGAGAACCATCAGAACAAAAGTTCTCTCATGCTTTAGTGAGGACACACACACACAAAGTCAATAAGACTTTGACCCATCCCTGAAGATATGAACTGATAGTTTACTCCCACCTCCTAGTTTGTGTTGAATTAGCATTTTAAAAGGTTAATTATTGGCCACCTGTTTAATGTTGAACATCCCAGTAGGAACGAATAATGCCAACCACAGTTATTTTAAGAAACAAGTGCTACCAGCCCCTTACTGAGGTTCCCAGATTGACCTCATTCAGTCAGGGAACCTAAAGACCTACAGGAGAGTCATTTAAATAACTGGTCTCAACCATTTTAAAGGACTTTACTAGGTGTTACTAACTAATGCAGTGGCTGTGAAATGTTGTGGGGTTACTAAGGAGTTTCACCTCTGCAGGGTCAGCATTACTTTCCAGAAAATGGCCAAAGTAAGCTGCAAGAGAGCCCTACCAGAGTACTAAACCAACTAAGTACTTATGCTTTCCCTTTAAAGGGGACCTTAAAGGCCATCTTCAGACAACTAAATATAAAGGTCTGTGATACAGACCTTGCTTTTAATATTGTCCTGGTGGAAAGCATCTCAGTGACATTTAGGCTCCCACTTACTCCAGGCAAATTCTTTCTTGACTGCCATAAGATTCTTTCCAGGAGGCTCTGTCAAAACTAATTTTTTCTGACTCCAAGTAAAATAGAATCTATCACTCTATCAGATGTTCCCCCAAACCCTCCATTACAGCTCTGTCATCCACCCACAGGCTCAACAGACTACGATACTCTACACAGACTTCAAAACATTCCTCTTAACTTCTGCATGGTCACACCCTAGACAATGCACAGAGAACCAGTGCCTACTGGGACACACTAATTGATCATATCTAGATCTGTTCTATTTGCAGTTTGTTGCCTCAGAGAATCTTAAAATAAGAAAGCCAGTAATTTCTTGTTTTGATACAACAGGCTCTTACTAGCCTCTTCTCTTCTAAGGGGTAGAATCTATCTACTTATTTATTTTTAATGCCATGCAGACTGCTGTGCCTCTTCTCATGTCCAGTTTTCACAACCTTTGTTTGGCTGCACATAGCCACGGCTCTTCCTCTTATCTAGTAGCATTTCTTACTCTTCTTATTATACTGTACATTTTCAGTCCCTGACTCCTACAGTGAGTGACTAAGTTTGTTCCTTTAAGAACTCAAAAGGCCTTCTGGCTAGAACAACTCTGAGGTAACTTGTCAGGATGGGTTTGGACAGCTTGGGGTCTTAGTTAAGGTTTCTACTGCTCTAATAAAACACCATGATTAAAAACAATTCAGTGAGGAAAGGGTTTATTTCAGTTGACAGTTCTGCATTGCAGTCTCTCACTGAGTGAAGTAGGGGCAGGAACTCAATCAAGGCAGAAACCTGGAGGCAGAAGCTGATACAGAGTTCATGGAGGGGGTTATTTATTGGCTTACTCTTCATGGCTTGCTCAGTCTGCTTTCTTATACCATCCAGGACCACCTGCCCAAGAGTAGTACTGCCCACAGTGAGCTAGGTCCTCTTACATCAATTATCAGTCAATAAAATGCCCTCCAGACTTGCCTACAGACCAACTGCTATGGAGCCATTTTCTTAATTTAGATTCCCTTTATCCAGGTGGTCCTACCTTTGTGTCAATTTGACATGAAAACTAGCCAGCACCCTTGGCTTTGTGCTCTTGTCTCTTGATTTCTAGTATGCTTAACCACCTGAAAAAATTGGAATATTCTATATTATGAAATGTTATGCTGCTATCTTTGGGATATCAACCATTACCATCAACACTGAAGACTGTTTCCCACCATTCAGATCTTTTTGAACTCCAAAGGATGTTACAGGCTAGCCTTTGATCTCTGGTGATGGTCATTTCCTTCCTCTCCAAAATACTGCTGAGCCTTCTAGGCCTTAGAGCCCTACAAACTTATGTGGAACAACAATACCAGCTAGGAATCCAAGACCCATGCTCAGTTCTGAAGCATTTTCAGAAGACAATTTTCATTCCCATTCAATAACTTGACTTTGGTGATCTACAGGTGGAAATGTAGAGGTAAGTCTCCAAAATAAAGCAAAATGCCTACATTTTAACCATCAATCCAGGACCATTAATAGAGCCTTACTCTGAGTTAACCATCAGATCTTACATAGACATCAAAGGGAAAATAAATACAGACAGGCAAAAATTCCTGCATATACATCAATTATATATTTGAAATAATAAAAACCAACAATACTTACAGTATAATAAATTAAAAAGGCAAAAAAATGGAGCTACATTAGTCAATTTTAAGAATCCTAACAGAAGAGTTTTTTTCATGTTATAGGATAATCTTTGTGGATGGATAAATAATCAGAGCTAGGAGAGTATTTTTGGCCATTCATGTGTACTGCTTAATAGGGACTCCTTCTTACACTGTCAATTATGGGCCAGCTATGTTTTGCGAAACCTCAAATTACAAGGATGTGGGATAATTCAAGGTTCAAGTGGTCAAACCTAGGATGTATCTCCTAGATGAGCTGCTGGGTTTCCTTAAAGCCCAGGAGCACAGTACTTTTTTCTGATTTGTTATGAGGCCTCTGCTCATTATGGGACAAGCATGTCTAAATAGCCATTAAGACTCTGGTCACCTAGCATAAATATTTGTCTCTTAACTTTATATTCCTGAGACCTTCATGTAGATAAATATGTAATGCGACCATTACTGTAGGCAGCAAGTTTTCAGCTTCCAACAAGCTGATTACCAGAGATGCAGACTACAAATGAATATATAGGATAGTACATAAAAGTTACATTTGTAGTACACTATAGGCTGGAAAAGGACTAGCCAGAACAAGTTTTATCTAAGGAACAAAAAGACAGCATACTTACTATTTCTTGTATCTACACAGTACAATTGGCATAACTCAATAAGTTGTCTTGGCTTTTCATGTGCTCCTGATGTTTTTACTCTGGGACCTGCCTATCTGGGATCAGATCATTGATTAAGATTTTCATTGTTTTTGAATTCAGGTTGCCTTTCTGCTTTTAGTGGAATGGTGTTCAGGAAAGACTTGGTTGTGGTGGTCTTCAGGTGAAATTTTCTTATTTTAGATTGTTGTTCAGCGTATCATGTTGTATCCCTAGATATCTACTGAAGTTGAGTACTGTCTGCAACTATAGACTCTGTCCAGGAATAAACACAACACACCGAGTGTGAGTTGACTACAAAACAGTCATTCTGTAAACACCATATGTTATAGGAAATAGAAGAGAGCCCGGTACTATGATGCACATGGATCACTGTGGGAGAAAATAAAGAGAAAGAGGAAGGAAACAGAGGGGCTAGTGATTGGTATTAGGCTGTTATATGGGAGGTAACCAGGGGAATGTTCCCAGGAAGGAATGGCAGGCACAAAGGAAAAGGGATGGGGTGAGATGTTCATATCCCGGTTAGAAGCAGACTAAAAAGAATGAGGTCATAACATGCACTAAAATGATGTCAAACCTGCTCATCTCTAATGAGGTCGATGTCCAAAGGTTCTGCAACATAAAGTAGCCTGTGTTCTTTGGGAGAGAAAAAAATATAGATGACATCATGTGGAGAGAGAGGAAACAAAACAAAACAAGAAGGTGTGAACCATGAGAGCCATAGGTCGCTTGCTATAATGATCATGTGTATCATTCAAATAAGGAAGAAACTGTGGTGGGGGAGGAAAGAGCTTGGTCAATACTGAATGTAGTTCGTACCTGATTTCCTGGGCTGGCAGGGAAACTTGGGACAGGGTTCAAAACATAAGTAGGCTCTCCA